TAGAGAAATCAGTCAATAAAGCCCACATTTAAAAAGGGACGAATGAGGACAAGCCGCCTTCTGGATTTCCAAATAACTAGGCCACCAAGTATTAAAACCAGTAAAAGCAATTATAAGGAAACCCAAGACAAACACCAGTCTTGGCAACCTTGTATCGAAGAGCAAACAAGGAAACATTAATGGTTTTGGTTAAAAATCAAAACAATATCAGCAGATGGCTCGTGTAAGGAGTTTACATTGCCAGAATGCTCTGATAATTGTTCAAAATAACACGAGCGCACGTGCACGCATGGGTCAAGACGGTCAACAGATTACAAATAATTTTCTTATGCCTCTGACCTACTGGGCAATGGTCATCAAATGGACTCAAGTGAAGTTTTTCAAGTAATTCTTATACAGCCGCCGACCTTCTGACCATAATCAAAACGACGACACTCATGTAATCAAAAGAAGGTTTGCGTATATCCCACTTTCCACAATCCCTTTGTAAACATTCGGAGGTCTTTTGGCACCTAATAATTTGACAAGTTAGCTTAAATCTCCCGCACCTACCGTAATCTGGACAGTTTTCGAAATGCTCATACCAGAGAAAGTACCAACTTTCCTTAGGAATTGCGTCCGGACAGTTAATACCTACATAACTCTGTAGCCCATGCAAAAACTAACAAAAGAATTCTTGCCAAATAACCTTCGGATTCTGTCTGTTCGCTCTTGTTGACCTATTCCATGAGTTGAGAAATACTACTGATTTAAGATAGTCCAGATTATGTACAAAAACAATGACGAAAGGATTAAATTTCTTTAAAAACATCTAACGCAACACACTTTCTTAAAAGCCCATTATTCACCAAACGAACATATATTTATACGGCGGTCAATTATTTTATCTGAAACGGGTGGATAAATTTCGAGGAAAGGTGTTCAAACTGGACTTGACAAGTGCATCTCAAAATAATTTGTAAACAGGTGCTTTAAAGTTCATAAACTTCGGCAGAAAACTACGTAACTTGTATGCTGACGGACCTAGCAGACACCCTTGTTCTACACAAACGTATGAATACATCTTCATAACGTGCATGGCGAGGCAAAAGCCTAGACGCAGATTGAAGGATGAAGAGCCTAGCAAAAAACAGACGAATATGGAAGCGAGCCCTTAGAGAACATTAATGCTTAGGTTGTGGTACAGTAATTTTCTCTCCAAAACGTCAAATATTCGAGTTATTTTCAGCAGACTATTTATTTGATAGTTTTCGAAGTCTTAAATGTGGAACAATATGACCGATATATTATTTGACAAAACCGCCTAGGCCACAACTGCAACGTATTTGGGGTCGTTAGGCTGCCGAAATTTAAGCCGACACGTAAGTTGGAGACGTACGTCATGTAGTTTAATTATGAGACCCAGGTGGGATAATTTTACATTTTATAACAAGATCATAAGATCATATGATTGATATTAATCGTTTGAGCGAACCCTAAATTTTTAGGGTTAATCCTGCTAGCAGTTATATAATTTTCATCAGAACACTGTGTCGTGTGTCATTATGGCATAAACATGCGTACGTTTACTCGTGTCCAAAGAACGTACGCATCTCTGGCGTTTTAAGCGATAATCAATAAGAAAAGACCGAGCAATTGCTCAAGCCCGGTCTTGTGACAGTGATGTTAACATCACTGTAAAAAGGCATGATGGACCAATCTATTATTACGTTGCTTTGTCAACTCAGCAGATGCGAAAAGATACGTTTTAAATCTCTGAAACTGACAAATCCACTCGGCATAATAATGACGTCATAATTATAATTATGACGTCATATATGACGAGTGGTTTAATTCACTCGGAAACAAATCTCTTAGTTCTGTGGCCAAAACTAAGGATACAGAAGAGAGCTTTTGTAAGGTTTCGTATTTAATCGCCGCAAAGGTTCTGTAAACATGTAAAGACACTTTTATTGCGATATCGTAGACAGGTTCCACAATACCTTTCGAAGAGAATTCGTTTAGTGCACAAGCGTCTCTGTTAATTAAAAGTATAAAAGGTCCCAGCGAGTGCAGGATTTGTTAGAACTCTGTGAATTCGTCCACACCTCGATGCGTTTTAAAAAAAAATCTGCAAGGGTTTAAAGCACGATGCGTATTAATTGATTTGCACAATTAAGGATATCTAGCATTTGAAGCATTTTTGTCACATAGGGCGTGATAAATATGCACATTCAGCGATTGTCAAGCTGATTTATATAAATATGAAAAGGTGGCTCGCGTGAATACGGAAATTATTTTATCGCCGATAAATGGGTAGCAAGAAGAACACACAGCAGTCATCCTTCTGGAGGGTATGAGCTTGGTGCTGCCATCAAGTGCAGGGAGGTGTGTTGTGATGCCGGTCGAGGGCTCGGCAGATAGTTATGTAGTGGAGGACTGCCCACTTTCTCAAGGACGACGGGATGGTTACCGGCTTTTTACAATGACTTGCGGTCACACCGACTTGATTTAAAATCCCGAGTGAACTGATGCGACTAGTCGTCAACACATACGAACGGCCTTTGAATTTTTATAATTGGGATATTTTCAATAAACTTAGTAACATTTCGATTGAAAAAATTCGCAGTCAAAGTTAAACGACAAAGTTGTCCAACAACAAAAGTTATGGAATCCAATCACACACAAAAAAAGAAGATGCTGATAGGGGATCTTGAGAACATCAAAGAAACCCGGATAGTCACCCTCAAGTGCGAAATCAATGGAAATTGAGTTCGCACTGATGCCGTGATTCAGAAATTTAACTTCTGGAATTAACTGAGTGGATTCGTTTTTCGGCCGCTTAAATGTGGACAGCGCTCCTTCGGATACCAATGTAGCCGTGCTGGATGTTAATCCATAAGTGCTGCCCCAATGAAGTTTGCTGAGACATCAATGTGGGCGTCTTTTCGCCCCTGAAAAAGTAATAATAATAATAATAATAATAGTAATAATAATAATAATAATAATACTTCATGCCACTTCACGGGCATTGTCTGGGAACGACTGAACACCAATCTGGCCAGCAATGAAAAAACTCCTGACAAAACAAAAAATGAAGAGGATGATAGTTTTGTATACTTTGGATGGTTCAGAAGGAAATAATTGCTGCCCATGAAATGACGACAGTCGAGAAAGAGGGAGTAGCACTGCATCGGATACCATCAGTCGCCATTGCTTTACATGAAGTTGGGACTGGACCAAAAAGAAGCACTGAAGAACAGCTGTCCCTGTTGGCTAAATAAACTGCCCCTGATAAGACCGATCATGAGAATAAGATACCATGAGCGTCATCGCTACGGCATAGTCGATTAGTGGATTCAATACCAAAAATGTTTGGGAGATTTACTGAATGCGAATATCGAGTAATAGTTCTCGTAAACATAGGATAATTTTGCAGAATTTTCATATTCTTTGGTAATTTATTCTAAATAACAATTGTGTTCACAGAAAAGAGTCGACGATATTTAACGGAACTTGCCAAACGAAGAAAAGAAAGGACCTCGCTTTGACTCGTACGTCGGGGGTGGACAAGATGTCTTAAAACAGATAGGATTATATAAAAGCTTACATAGCAAAAAAATAGTCCCCTTTGTAATCTACAAAACCACAAAGGATCATGGCCTGTAAGCCGGCATCGTTCCTGGTTCGAAAAACTCCGATGTTCCTGAGTTAAAACTCTCTTGGTAAAAAAATGTTTAACGAATTCTATTTTCTTTCGCTCAGCAGCACGCATGAGGCTAAATAAAAACGAACAGTATTCTAGGCCAAGTCAAACGTGCACGTGTGGTTTTGAAGTTTCGGAGGATAAAACCGGCCGTTCTGTGTGCTTTGGGGACTATCAGGGAGCAGTGTTTTGAAATATAAGGACCCTTGGAGTATGATGTACCCAGATCCATAATTACCCCAGGTACATTTATGTCGTGAACGTCAATACTTAGTTGAGGATGGTGGTCGTCGTCAACCACTATGACTGATCATTTATGCCAAGAAAGCGAAAGACGCCATGTGCGGCACCACTGGGCGCTCTTTAAGAGCTCAAGCACGATGCCGCGATCAGCCGGCTTATATCGATATGCAACTTTAATATCATCGGCGTACATGAAGAGCTTATCATTCTGAAATGTATCCGATACATCGTTAACAAAAAGGTAAAATAAAAGCGGGCAGAGTACACTACCCTGAACGAATCCACTCCTCACACATGTGGGGTTGGCGATAGTATTGGAAATCTTAACTCGTTGTGTACGACCACCCAGGTAAGAGGATATGGAAATCAGAAGTTTGCCACCTATTTCGAAAGAGGATAGTTTCAAGAGAAGAGGAAGAGAAAGAAATGCATGGTCAATACGATCAGAAGCCTTAGTAAAGTTTAAATAGGCTGTGTAAAGTACAAAACCGTTGTCCCTATATTGGAGGACGTAATCGAAGAAAGAGTCGACAGGTGTCACAAGACCGGGCTTGAGCAATCCGTGCCGTGCAGCGTTCAGTATGTCACTTTTTGTTAAGTAACACATCATCTTATCTTTGATCATTGTCTCTAAGATCTTCGAAACTGCGGGCCAGCTGAGCGTACCGAAGATAAAAATAATGTCCTCCTTTGTAACTGGAGACAGACTGTAAATACTAAGGAAGTGATGATCGTGTTATAAAGGTTTATTGTAAAAAGCGGCGTTTAAAGGTTTCTGCAAGTTGGTTTTTAACTCTATACTAATGTAGGTCATCGGGTGGCGCGCGGAGAAAATAGTTGGATTAAACATTACGGGGAGTAGCTGTCGTGGGGGCCGACACGGACTCCAAGGGTACTCGAAATCCTTGACGTCGTCGTTTACGAAAGATATCCGTGCGAGGGGAGGGTGCAGTGACTGATGGCAGCAGCGCTGTTGTCGATAGGAAGGCGTCGCAAGGTAGCCAGGAACCGGAATGGATGGCGCCTCATCGAAGTGTTAGGAAAAACTAAGCAAAGCAGGAATGATTTCACTGTACAACTCATCGCATACTAAAGATTTTCGTGTTGGGGTGCAGTGAATGAAGGGATGACAAGGGTGATATGGATGTGGAGGTGACCCACAACAACCCGAGTGCGGTATAGATGGCAACACGCCGAAAGGTTAGGAAGACCAACGGTTTGGCGAAAATGTTACTGAACTACTCGTCGTTTACGAAAGATTTTTATGTGGAGATGCAGTGAATGAACTGATGACATTGCTGGTGCCCATGCGAAGCTGACGCATGTCAGCCGGATTCTGGAATGGAAGGGCTAGTTAATTCCAACAGTTTGGGGAAGACGTCACCGTACTACGCGCCGCTTACGAAAGAATTCAAGGGGGGGGGTGCAGTGGCTGGACGGATGGCGCGACTGGTATGCATTCGAAGGTAACGCAGGTCAACCAAATCCCGCTATGGATGGCTGCTCACGAAAATGCTTAGCAAAGACAATGGGTTTGGTATAATCAACCGTATTATTCGTCGTTTATGAAAGATGTTCGGTATGAATAGCAACTCATGAAATGGTTAATCGAAGCCAACAGGTCTAGGGAGGTCACCATACCAGTCGTAGTTTACGAAATATTTCCATGCGGGCATACAGTGACTAAACGGATAGCAGTGCTGTCGGAAGTGGTAAATTAACGCCACTCACGTGGACTTCAGTAGGCAGAAGTATGTAATATGCAACCCAGGGTCTCGAACGGCGTCCTTATCCATGTTTTTTGGTCACTGTGTTAAGTGCGCAGTTGTCGGTGAAGAGTAAGTCGTGGACTGTAGTCGTAGATACTACCGTAGGGTCCTTCACGCGCCCACTGCTGAGAGGATGCCCGTCAGTCCAGTAGGAGATGCGTACACCCAGGCGCTCATCACGGTAGGAGTACATCAGCTTGACAGAGAACATGGCGCTGACGGGATTGGGAGCGAGTACGCAGCCCTTCTAAACTCCGCTGGTCGTTGTGAATACCTCGGATGTTGCGCCGTCGTCCGTGTTGTGCGCCATTATCCCACCGGGGAGCCAACATAACATGAGCGTTAATCCTTCAGAACAGCCGAGTTTCTGCATGATTTCCCACAATCCCTCGCAATTCACCTTATCGAAGACTTCCGTCAAGTCCACAAAGGTAGTGTGGGAGTGAGTTCGCATCTGCTGGCATTTATCCCGTGATTGACGAGCCGCAAAGATCATATCGGTTATCTCGAGGTGACTTCGAAAGCCACAGTGGCTTTCCTGCAGTAGTTTGACTTGAGGTAGTTTATAAGACAATTTGGGAGAAGGTAAGTGAAGATCTTCCCAGATATGTCATAAGGTGCCTCTGTGGTTTACACGAAGGTTCTGGTTCTTATTAAGCATGTGGAGATGGAGGATGATCGTGCATTTGAAGTATTTTGGGGACTGCCCCTTTTGCCTTATCTCGCGGAATAGCGCCGTCAGTTAGCACATCAGTAAGCGACCGCCGTGTTTGAAGGCTTTAACTGGGTTTGCATCGAAGCCTGGCGCTTTGCTGTTGGTTTCTGGAAGTGACGGCAAGAGATCCTAGTCGATTTTGGTTTTTACTCGGGAAGCCGGCTGATGCCGGCTTAAGGAACTGTAGAAGAACGGCTAAGGACGCCTCTGCAGTACTCAGCCAATGCTTTAGACTCTGCGACTTCTTCAGAAGCGTTTGTTCGTGACTTTCGTTGGGGGGCCGAAGATCGCCTTAATCGTAGCGAAGAAATATTTCGCTTGATTGTGATCGCATATCCCTGAATCTCCTCAGTCTTGCGAGGCATCCTGGAAGTCTTGTAATCGCTGCTGTGCAAGACGGCGAAATTGGTAGAAGGCCGCTTTATATGCATCTGTTGGACAGTAGAGATAGGTTTCGTGCAACCTGTTCTTTTTATTGACCAGGTTGCTGATGTTTGCGTCATTTTCGTTGAATCAGTCCTGGTGGTGACGAGTTGCGCGACTGCGGACACAGTACGGTCGAATGGATGGCGTCCCGCAGCTGGCATTATCGAATCACCACAGAGGCAGTTTCGCCAGCAGCTTGCATTTCTTCCAGACGCTGGGCCATCTGGCTGTTAAAAAGCAAACGGTAGGCAGACAAAATCAGCAAAATAGTATTCAGCTTACCTGGTGGTCGCCTACGTTGTGGCCACCAGCGGTGTTGCGGGCTGGGCCTCATCTCAGAGATGACGAGGTTATGGTCGGTCCATTGGTCGGCGTCGCAGATCGCCTTGGTCATCATCACGTTCTGTCGACTGCGCCGCCGGACGTTACGATAGTCCAGGAGCTGTCAGCGCCGCCATCAGGGGTGCTTCCAGATTGCCTCGTTCTGCATCGGCAGGCAGAAAATGGTGTTGGTCAGCAGGAGACATTGTTCTGCGCAGGTTCGCAGAAGAAAGAGACCACCGTCGTTGCAGCTGTCGATCCCGTGAGGACCCAGCCCTCTCCTCCAGGCTGCACAGTCTGTCCCGACGCGCGCGTTGAAGTCACTAAGGAAAACCTGCTTGTCCACCTTCGACACAGGTGCCAGGAGGACGCGTAAGTTTTAGTAGGACTTGGTTTTCGCCTTATCGGAGCCGTCATTGTCTGAGCGTAAGCACTGGTTTTGGCGACCAATTAGTATTCCCAAAGAGGAATGCGCGGGCTCATCAGTCGGGCGTTCGTGCCCGGCGGCAGATAAGGTACTCGCTCCTCGATGTCGTTCCGGGTGGCAAAGGCAACGTCCACTTTCTTGTATGGGGCGGGTTGGGAGGACACCGTCTTCCTTGAAGGTCAAGATTCACATGCTGAGAAAACTGAAGTTTCTGGTGAGAAATGGCTACGACCGAACCTAAAAGCGAATACGAAAATGCGAGAGGATAAGATACTTTAGAGACGGTCTGTATATGTATATGTATATTGAAGAGTTACAGGCAGAGCCCTTGATGACCCTATTTATGTACAGTGCTTTCGCAAATTCATACTCAAAAATAAAATAAAATTGCTGGCAGTTAAAATGTGATTGGGTCACAGTTCAATCGTAATCTAAATCTAAATATGTTAAATGCACGTCTGATCCAGTGTAAAGTACTAGTTGCCCTCTGGACCATCTTTATACAGTGTTCTGATGGCGATAGATTTGTGGTCGTCCATACACCCAGATTTCTGAGTCTTTCCACATTTTATAACCTCGTCCCGTCAATATAGTACTGGTGTTTGGTAGAGGCATTGCGGCCGGTGTTC